ATAACTGTTAGAAGAGAACATATGAAGGCAACATCCTTCTCAAAGGCTTGTAATGAGTCTCTGCAGTTTTAATTGGCAACTGACTGTTGCCCTATTTTTCCTTGCAAATTATCCACATTACCAAGCTCCTTGTAAAGTTAGGGTAACTTCTGGGGCTGCAGCTAGCAAGCTAGGGAAGTATTTCCATAGGACTCCATTAAAAAAACAGTGGTGGAAATTCAAACTCATCCAAGCTTGGCAATAAATTGATAAACTACTGCCTTAATCACACTGTGCAGCACCAAGTTTTGTACAATTAGCACTGCTGATAAGCAGAGGAGCTTGAGCAACTCTTGTGCTGGCTTTTGAGGAGGCAACCTTAGTTTCACCAGAAAAAATATTTACATAACTTACAGTTTAACAACTTCAGCTTGTGTTTTCTTTTTTTTTGCTGATAATATTTTCCTAAAAACATGGGACTGGTGTTCAGTATAACTCTACTGAAACTGGCAGCCTTGTATCGAGATGTTTTGGGGGGAAGTTTTTATCTGAATTCTGGCCCCGAGAGAATATAATTTCAGATGCTAAGGCCACCTCTCAAATAAATATAATATCCTTAGTGCATGAAGAATCCATTTCTTTCACAAAATCAGTGCTCTGTAACAATACTACTGAACTCTGCGCATGAGATTATTCTTTAAGAGGAATGAGAACTACTGCACTATATTAACAGCAGATAAATTTTGACTTACTAAGAATATATTTTGTGTTATCAAATGAAGAATTACAAAGTTTGAATATACAACCCGAATTCAACTGGGGTGGGTTTTTTGTCTTTTGGAGGTGGGGGGTTCAGACATCTCATAGTTCCATCTACCACCCATGTTACTAATAAGCAAAACCACATTTGAATTTTAATACATTTTTGCTTCTTTCAGACTCTTACGATAACACACTTGGAAATCGTGTTTGCTTGGCAATGAGCAAGACAAAAACCTTGCTTGGTGTACAGGAAATATTCCTAATTAATGGAGTCTAACATTGAGCTGGGTGGCTTGGGTAAAGCCAAGGTGCACCCCCACATCTCTTGTCCAGCCTCCTGTACCATCGCTGGACTCCCGCACTACTGCTATTCCCAGGAAGAGAAGGGCAGCAGGCTCCTAATCACAGCAAGTCACCCATGGGCCAATGTTTGCCTTGGTGCTAACAGGCAACCAAGGCAGAGTTTTCAGGGATGCCAGCACTCAGCCTGTTAACCTATATAGGTGGTGGTGACTTACAGGAAGAAAGTAGCCAGCCAGAGCAGAGGTAAATGAAAACAACAACAAAACCGAGCGTTATTTTTAATATTTGGATCACACGCTGAGTCAACAACGTTATTTCTGAATGATCTGAAAACACAGCTTACTGCCTTTACTATTTTAAGACACTCAACTAGCATCCTCAAAAAGACGACAATAACAATTTGAGATATATGGGTAAACAGGTGGATTTGGAGAATACCACTCTCCCAGGGGGATTAGAGACATCATTTTAGGTGTGACATAATTTATCCGTAATGAGTGGAGTTCTCCTTATTCAAATGCACTGAATTTAATTATTTGTTGGAATCGGGGAGCAAAGTCTGTGATTCTGCTTTAAATTGCAAGTAGCATCCAGTTTTGCATGTAGGCATCTGAAACTCTGGATAATCAATACAGACAGAGGAAGAAATTAGCTGCTGATTTGGATTTCGCTGTAATGGAAGCTGATTTGTGAACACCAGCGCTTTAGAAAGCTGTGACAGTGACAATACTTGGAGCATCAGACTGAACAGTCTCCACCAGAAAGAACAATTATTCCTTCTGTAATATCTGGAAACATAAAGCAAAAGCTTCAGAATAACCAAAAAAATCGGATGTCAAAAAACTGTAAGCAGTTATCTTAAAGATGAGGCCACATGTCATGAGATGTGGCCCTACCTTCCTCAGTGCTTCTGAACACTCAAGGGTTTGGTCACTCTTTCTTCCCAGGCCCTGGTTAAACCCTATCCTGCTTTTACTTAAGACTGCAATAATATTGGAAAAATATTATAACAATTCTCTTGGGACAGGCTTTCAAAAGACCTGCGTTGTCTTATTAAAGAGGTCATACTGAAACAGGAGTCAGATGAGAATAATTAAATTTTAAAATCTTCTAAATTATTTTTAAAAGACCAAGTCCTTCCTACAGTGATTTATCCCTTTAAGTTTGCAATCTCCTACAAAGCGAGCACCAGTGGAAGAGCCTGTGTAGATTAATGCAGTGAGTAATGACACTAAAAACTTTATTATTTACAAAGCCAAAGCAAGAGTACACATACAAACGAGTTACAGCAAGAGATGTCAACACAGCAGACACATCATTAAGGCCCAAAGGCAACACTGAGCATCACACTACCATAATGCATCCTTCATTCAGTCTTTGCTGCAACTTCATTTTTCAAAAAGAAATACTTAACATCTTTGTAATGAAGTACTGGCAGGCACATCAAAAAAACACTTCTGACACTCTGGCGGTAATGGAAATCTATCTCGTGAAAATTGGGAAGCCCTGACTTAAAGTGTTTCTCTAAATGAAAGTTGGATGATGTCCCTTGACACATCTTCACCATCCCCAGCATCTGTGTTGATGGGGTGTCTATTCTCATTACAATCATCAATTGTTCATTTCTCCTGAAATAAACCTTGTAATGATCAAAGTTATCATAAGACTTAATGGAATATTTACTAGCATTCGCCTTTCTAGAGATTTACGACATTTATTTATCATTTAGCCAAAAGAACAAACAAATGTTTGAAGTTGTTTATTAGCAGCAGCGGCAACAATTTAAGTCAATAATATGCCCTAAATTGATCTGCATACCTCCAAGACCTCTGTTCAGTTAGGTCTAGCTGAAACAGTTCCCCAAAGTCAAGCTGTGACCTTGTGTGCCACTGCACTTGAAAGGATATAAAGCCAATTACAATCACAACTGCTACTTACTCGTGCAATAATGAGAGAGAAAATACCTAAAAGTCACTCGCTGGCATTGGAAATAAGATTACATGCCCGACAGCTGCCAGCAGAAGAAGGTGCGTAATTATCATAATTTTATGATGCCGGTGGGAAAGGACGAGACCATAACAACAAATGCAGACACCTCTTTCTTGAAGAAAGATATCTCTGAGGACAGTTGTAGAAGTGACCTTACTACTGCCCCCAATTTAACCAGGAAAAAAGGATTCGGTAAACTAAGTGCCAAGTGGCAATCTGGAAGTTTGCTCAAGAGGGGAGACTTAGTACATGAAAAAGTGAGTAACAGCAAGACTGATAGTAAAAACTGCTGCCAGTATTATTTCCTGTTGGAGTCACTTGTACAAACAGGTTGAAAATGGACACAGGAACAGTGTGACTATGCAGGATTATATGATGTAGTGCTCGTGGTACTAGAGGATCAAGTGCCTTTTAGCTCTGCATTTCTAAGGACAACTAAGCAATACTCATCCCCTCATTTCCTCTTCTAGGATTTGACCATCTCCCCTCTTTCTCTGCTCCTTCCAACTTTCTGTAACTGTATTTATCACATAAGCTTGCAGCTTATCTGAATTCATCACCATCATCAATCCTCCAAACCCTTAATGGGTCAGAAAAAAGGGCTGTACATGGAAAATGCGCCTAGGGGGCAGGAAGGTATAGGGAGGAGAGGGTGGATCAACACGTGCCTCCCACCATTCGCACCCATGTTCCCATTGGTTCCTTGGTGGACTAGGAGGAAGGAGATAAAGCATCTCATCGAAGAGCAGCCCAACACACTGTCTGAAGGAGCCTGGAGGTCTCTGGGGCTGGGGCTGTCCCAGTCAAGCTAGGCATGAATTGTACAGTTAGCACATTTGCTGCATCATTTGGGATTACTCCAAAGCATTTACTAATAATTTGGATTACTCTGAACCATGAAATGTGCTACTGGTGAACATACTATATCATAGCCAAGGATTTACCTGCAATGAAAAGTACTTGTAAAAAGGCAAGGTTTGTGCACGTGAAAATAGAGTACGCCAGTCAAGTTCTTCAGAACGATGTAGAACACCACGTTCTTCACAAAAAAATCTAGTTATCTTTTCCCATTTTGTCATTCCTGCCCATTTGTTCTTTTCCTCTTTCTCTCTTTTTGAACCAAAATTAGGTATTTCTAAAAGGCTTTCTTCTGAACAGGGACTCACATGCCTCATTATTTTGGTACCACTTGTTTGTCTTTGTATTATTATATCCCATCTGTACCCTTCTAACTTTTCCCCTACAGTGTCTTTAAGCCACAGAACTATTTATCATCGCCTATAAAACCTCTCTGCTTAAGATGTCACCATAAACTTTTATCCTCAAGATCAAGGAGGACTGTGATATCATATAAATCAAATCTCAACTATTAATCTGAATTTAAATGAAAACATATTTATGTTTTATCACATAGCAATGTGATTTTTCCTCTACTTATTGTGCAATCCAGGCTTTTGCCCAGAACATTCATAAAAGAAACCAGATTACAGGATAAGTGCTGGAGACTTAAGAGTAGGGGATCAGTGCCATCCAGGTTTTTTGTTTAGCCAATTTAGGGGGAAAACAATAACTTGTCCTGAAAAAATACATAAGCTTAACTTACTGAGTTTCCCTTGCTCTTCTAAGCAACTGCTACATATATCATAAAATTCAGCAGGAATCATAAGGAAACCTATGGTATTAGCTACAGGCTCCTCTGCATAAGGTAGCATCAACCGTGCTGTGTCAATGTAGGAGGTTCCCTATGTGAACAAACCTGAGCAAAAGAATCCGGTGAAGCACTTCTTTTGCATCTTCCTCCTGCTCACAGTGGCTAAATTCAAGACTATAATCAATGCCCTGAAGAGTTTAATTAAGAAAGTGGAACGTCTAACAGAGGCTGCAACTCCAAAGAAGAGATGAGAAGAACCCTACTTCCCAATGATATCCCACATCATTCAACATCCAAGTTAAAAAAATGATCTTACTTTTGACAGTTGCTGTTCGGGTGCAATTGTAGAGGATGGCTAACTCCCCAAATACTTTGCCAGGTCCCATGGTGCACAGCTTCACACCTTCTTTTGTCACTTCAACCTTCCCATCTGTGAGGGGAAAAAAAAAAAGAAAAAAAAAAGACTATTTTAAAGGGAAATTAAGTTCTTTCAGACTTAAGTTTTAAAATGTATTTGATTATACTGTGAATAAAAACACAAGAGTCCTACAACTTGAAAACCAATTAAATGTATTATGAAGGAGAACACAAACTCAGAAAAAGATTAAAACCAACTGTTGTGTATATAAGCTTTCAACACTTGAGGTTTTTTAGTGGGCTATCTGCACAGTCAGGAAATACTAGTACACTAAGCTCAATGGGAACTTTGTTTCATGCATTACACTTTCAGGTGAAATTTTCTCCAATTTTTGTATCAAAAAAGGAAAAGATTTAGGTCTTTAACACCACATATGAAAACCACGGAGTAATTTTGCTCATTTTCACTGAGAAACTAATCCCTGAGAGCACTCATCCATGAATAACACAGCTATTATCAAAGGAAAATTACTTTGACCTGTGGCCATTATTTAATTCCCATCTCACTGTACCTTTCCTTTTTGAACATTTCATCTTACGTGAGCAAGTCTGCTTTATCTGCTTACCAATACTGTGCCGAGAGGAGACATGTAAGGGGGATTTAAAAGCAAAGCTTGAATGGAAGGAAAGAGCTCAGGGCCAGCCTGGGAGTTTCAAAGGACATCTGAGGAACAAGAGCTGGGAGAAGGGAAGGAACTGAAGATGGCCCCACCACCTTTTGTACACACAAGTGATGCCATGACAAGAAGCAAGGGGGGAACACGGGGTTATCACACCTACAACCACCATTTAGGCTGTAACAATTAAAGTGCAAGACTGAAAAGTGAGGATTTCACATGTTATCTGTCACTAAAAAGCCTCCTCTCATCCGAAATTGGGAAGCAGAATGTTAAGGGATCCTGCTACACCAGTCCACAGTGCCTCACTGACTTGCTCTCTGTGGGTCTATACGTGGCAAGAGGGAAGATCAGCGTTTACAGGCTCTTACCCGCCTTACGGCTATCTGCATTTGTACATTAGATACCAAACTGGGCCTCGAATGCTTGCAAAAATAAGTAACTCCAATTAATTTGATAAGAGATTATACAACCCTACCTCCTGCAGAGGGAATCCAGAGGTACTCGCCACAAAACAAGACCGCCATCACAAAAAGAAACTTCTCCTACATAATACACATGCTCTAAAATACAGTCCTGTCAGCCCTACGTATCTGTGTGTTAATCTACACCACTATACCCATGATACCCCGCAAAGCAAGAATGACTCCAGCCTAGCCATGCTACTCTACCAAAACGCCACACCAATGAGAAAAAGCAAACTTTGAGGACTTTGAAACAAGTTTAGACACCATATCCCTACTAGGCACATAATAAGATAATTCAAATTCAGCAGAAAATGTCAAATATTTCCATAGCAGAATAAAGAAAGAGGGTAACGGTATGTAGAGGTGGATGGAAGAAGGTATTGTATTAAGGCAGGGCAAACTTCAAAGGGTGCCTTTAAATGCACAAAGTATTTTGGAGGGAGAGAGGTCTTACACTGTCTGGTGCCATACATCCCCAGATCTAGTGCTCATTAAAAAAATTACATTTAAAAAAAAAAATCTTGTTATTTATGAAACTAAAAGTTACTGTTTGATAAGTATCATGACCTAAAGGTTACCTGGCCTGTGGGAGTGTCAAGATTGCAGCAATGTATTCTGTAATACAGAAGCACAGAGAGTTTGGGGGGGGAAGGGTTGTGTTTATTAAAATTTCTTTATTACAAGTTATGACTAATAAGAAAAGTTTGTGCATATATATATATATAACATGCTACTATGAAATTACTACCAGGAAGCAAGTATATATTTCAGTATCAAGTCTCAAGAGCAAGTCTCTAAAACTATTACTAGGAAAGCAGCAAATATACTTATAATTGATTACTTATATAAGTACGTGTGTGTGTATATATATGTATACACACACACACACACACACACTTTATATATGAGGAGGAGAAAATGCCATTTCCTTTGGGAGACGCTGGCCAGTTACGGTGGGCTGGCAGTCGCGGTGTGCACAGTTCTGCAGCTCCCATCACAGCAGGTAGAAATACATAGGATGGCAATATGTAAAGGCAAAGGATAAGGATATGGCATCCATCACGTTGAGTATTAATACTAGCCATTGATACTGCACAGTTAGCACCTATTAAAGGTCTCCCAAGTATGCACTCACCTATATTCACACAGTAAGCAATGACAGAAATACTAAAATACACAATATAATACTTCGGGGCTAATAAATAACCCTGAGAATTATATTCTGAGGTTGCTGATTTATTATTGGCTTCAAATTGACCCCATTCCTTCTATAGGCTAACTTCCCTTTAAAAGTCAATTTATTTTTATCATTTTTTTTTATAAATGCTTGATTCATTTGTTCATATATAGATATTTTTCTCAAGAATGAGCAAAATCAAACTTTCATGGTGCCTCACACACTTCAGAGACTGCTAAATGATTTTGAAGAATACTTTTTTTTTTTAATAGAACTGAGTTTCAGCAGAGCTGAAATGGGGATATTTCTGCAAAAAGCTCTATAGAAAATATCCGCAAAGGGAATGAGTTTACCTCACTTTTAGCTCATGAAGTCATAACCAGTTCCAGAGAAAAGACAGCCAAATCTGAACAGTCATGCACAAATAGATCACATTATTCAAAAGCATTTTGAGATCTGTCCCACTGCTCAAGATGTCATCTGCTGCTTCACAAAGCAATCCATGCTGATCATTCATCTTTGTAAGAAAGCTACGTCTATTCCCATATTCCATTTCTTTTCTTATAAGGACTTAAAAATAAGAAGCTGGGTTCTGACTCTTACGGCTCAGTGGGTTTTTTTTGGGGGGAAGCATTTCTCACTCTATTAAAAAATCATGTGGTTCACTCATGATCATGCACGATAACAAGTCAAGGCTTCATCATCACAGATGCTCTCCAAGGATTGAGAGGAAGACGAGATGAAAATTCCCATGAGGGAGAGACGATGCTGGAAAGGAGTGCCTTGGGGTTGGAAAGGGCTCTCTGGAGTAATACACAGAAATATTAGCTCAGATCCCATCAATTTACAGCCTACTTTTCACATGTAGAAAATTGAGCTCTCATTGCCATACCCTGAAGAAAAATTCCTGCCTGATTTTGGCAAAGGACTTGGAGATCTGGGTTGGAAAGCATGATGTTGCACAGATTATTTTTATTACAGTCTTCACGACCCTTTTACTGCATCAACCACTTCCCCCAGTATGGAAGAAGCATATTGGTGAAGAAATTAAAATACTAATTTAAAAAGCATAGAGAAGACTTCCTAGCAAAATATGTGGATACAGGCAAGAACGTGACAATGATGGAAATGATGTCGTTTCAGAAAAGCCTCCCTAAATCAGTTTGAACATGAAAGCATCCTCTGTTCCTGCAGAGCAACGATGACTCTCCTCCTCTAGACCCGCAGCGGAAAGGAAAGGTTTCACTCATAGGAGCACAAGCAATGCCTTAGAGAGGCTGTATTTTACGTGCCCACCTTGTGACCAAGTGGCAGCTCTCCCCTCAGGGTGCAAAACAGCTCTCGGCTAATCCCAGGTGACCTTCTGGCTACCAAAAGGCAGTGCCTTGGCACTGGGGATGCATTACTATTGCAAACAACAGCTCACGACGACACCGTTTCTGCCCCGCGCTAAGCCCAGGGCACAAAGCCCACTGCAGCCTGGTCCACCTCTGCACCACAAGTAATGCAAATTAAAGTTTCTGGGTTAAAGTACGCTGCCTTTCTCCACTGCCCCTCCTGGTGTTCAATGGGGTGCCATGGGGTTGTCCTCGTGGGGTTTCCAGCAAGGATGAGCTGCTCCTCGCTCTCAAGCTTTGCAGCCTCTGGACACTGCCAAATGCAGTCTCTAAGAGATCTTTAGGAATGAACTGACCGTTTTGAGAGGTGGTCAGAGCACAAGGAGCCACTTGAGTAACCTTTGCCTTGGTCCACCACCCCCAGCTACAAGGCTGAAGGTGTTTCATGGCTCCGAGCCCACCTCTGCTGCTGCTTCTCCCCTCTTCCAAAGCTCTGCGATGCTTCTGATGCTAGAGCCAAGCAGCTCCCCGGTCCTCCTCAGACAGCGATATTCTTCTACCAAGCCACAAAACAGTCCGCAAAAGACTTCATTAGACAAACTCAGCTGCTGCAGGAGAAAATAAATCTATCTTTTTCAAAGTACATAAGAGAAGGATTGAACAGAACAGTAGCCTGAGGAAGGCTGGAATTGAAAGGTTAAGGTATTCGATCTTTGACACTACAGCAAGAGAAGAGATATGGGTAGGCGGCTTCTCTTTCAGTAGGGTTTAGTAATAGATGTGCTGTTTAATTACAATTTATTGTACTGGAAAAAGTCTCCCATTCTCCTGTCATGTAATTAAGCAATCTGGAGCATTAAACACCTAACAATAAACTCCCCAGACCGTGAGCCAAATTCACCTCTTGTGGAAATAAAGGGTCTAACACAGCTATAAACAGAAGGAATTTTACCCATTTTCTTTTCCTAGCTGGCAGCCTACGCAGTGCAGTTTTCCATGTATGAAATAAATTGCTTTCTTCGAGGTATCAACCACATAAGGAAACCAAAAGAAAATAAATACAATATTGATCAATTAATGGAGAAGAATTTGCAACTTCCTTTGACATCTCCATAAGACAAACACTAAATAATGCAAGTGATGCTTTACTTGAGGCAAGAAGATTGGAAAATGCTGTGTTTCTGCCGAAATATTGAGCATTACTGAATTCAACATTTATATTTAATTTACAGCTGAGCTGATTTTGTGGAGCTTTAGCTTGCATCCAAACTATGCATTTTTCTGTCAGCTGTAAGAAACTATTCCATATTGATGGAGGAGCAATGCAAGTTTTTTTCATATAGACAGAGCATAAAATAAAATAAAACAATAAAATAAAATAAAATAAAAAATAAAATAAAATAGAAATCTGTCTT